TCTGAGGAGCTGTTAACCACAAGTCCTTTAAAAGTTGGATGAACACCATTGGTAGGATGTGACTGTCCCCGCAATGAAGATGACGGGTCAGGAATGTAGCCTCATAATATAAACTTTTCTACACCCTTGTCCCACATTAGAAAAATTTGGAGAGTATGGAAATGGGGTTATGAATACCAGGTTGAGATCTGGCTGCCATTTTCACATCTCAGCCTCATCTCCTTGACTCCATGAAAATCTAGCCCTTAATATTTCAGATTGATATACCTTAATTAGAACTAAATTGTATTCTGTACAGGAGGGAACTAAAATACTTAATATGAGAGACAAAGTGAGGCTACAAGTAAAGGTTATAAAGCAACATGGAAGTGAATAATAAAATAACATATAAACTTGTTTCACTTTTACTCATTTATAGGATGTGTGTGTCACTGTCCAGGCTAACATTTGCAGCCCATCCCTAATTGTCCTTGAAAAGGTGGTTTTGAGCTGACTTCTTGAATTGCTGCATGTGGTGTAGGGTTACCCACATCCTTCCTGCTTGGAAGGGAGTGTCAAGATTTTGACCCAGTGAAAGAAAGCTGATATTAATTTCAAGTTGGAGTGATGTGTGGCTTGGAGGATAACTGAAGCTAATGGTGTTTCAGTGAATCTCCTGCCCTTGTCCTTGCTATCATGGTTTTGGAAGGTGCTGTTGTACATTTTGTAGAGATGACTATGCTGTGTCTGTGCATTGGTGATAGGAGTAAATGGTTAAGGTGATGGATGGGGTACAATAAAATAGACTGCTGTCTTGAGGAGTAGGAAAGTTGACGTTTCCGGTTGGGACACTTCTTCAGAAGAAGGGTCCTGACCCGAAACGTCGACTTTCCTTTTCGTCTCATGCTGCCTAACCTCCTGTGTTCCTCCAGCGCCTCACTGTATCAACTCTGACTCCAACATCTGCAGTTCTTGCTATCTGAGTTGGTGTTAAGCTTCTTGACTGTTGGGATTGCACTCAACCAGGTAGTTGGAGAGTATTCCTGATCTGTGTCTTGTAGATTGTGAACAGGCATTGGTAAGTGAGTGAGTGACTTGCTAGTTATGGAATTTCCTGATTCAGATCTGCTTTTGTAGCCACATTGGATGTTGATTGTGGTAATGCTATTGATGATGATTAGGGTCTCTCACGTTAGGGATTACCTTTGCCTGCTCTTGCATGGTGCAAATGTTAGTTACCACTTACCATTCCAAGCAGGAATGTTGTTCAGGCCTTGATTCATTTGGATGTTGATTGCTTCAGCATCTGAGGAGGAGCTGAATGGTGCTGAATATTGTCCAGTCATCAATTAGCCTCACCACTTCTATCCTTAAGGTAATCCAAGGTCATTGATGAAGTAGCTGAAGATGCTTGGCCCAAGAACACAACATCTCCAAGAAACTCCTGCAGAGATGAACTGCCACTTGGATGGTTGACATTTAATAACCACAATAACCTTCTTTTGTACCACTGGAGACTTTTCCCTTGATTCCCATTAATTTGAGTTGTGTCAGATATCCTTGCTGCTACAATTGGTTAATTGCTGCCTAACATTAAGGGAAGTCACTCCCCCCTCACCTCTGGAGTTCCACTCTTTTGTCCAAGTTTGGACCACAGCTGTTATGAGGTCAGGATCATGTCACCCTGGTGGAGCCCAAACTGAGAGTCAGTGATCTGGCTCTTGCTGTGAGTGGGTTTCACTTGATAATCTGGTCAACAATTCTTTCCATAACTTTGCTGATGATTGAGAGTACACTAATGGATGGTAATTGGCTGCTTTGGATTTCTATTGATTTTCTTGTGGACAAATATATAAAAAAAATCAGGAGTCTGCTCAGGAAAAGGTGAGAAAAGTTGAAACATTTTTAGAAGCATTTAGCGGGAGGTGATAATAGTGATATTATCGCTGGACTGTTAATCCAGAGACCCAGATAATGTTCTCGGGACCCGGGTTCAAATCTTGCCACGGCAGGTGGTGGAATTTGAATTCAATAAAATATCTGGAATTAAGAATCTAATGATGACCATGAATCCATTGCTGATTGTCGGGGAAAACCCATCTGGTTCACTAATGTCGTTTAGGGAAGGAAACTGCCATCCTTACCTGCTCTGGCCTACATATGACTCCACAGCAATGTGGTTGACTCTTAACTGCCCTCTGGGCAATTAGGGATGGGCAATAAATGCTGCCTAGCCAGTAATGCCCTCATCCCTTTAATGAATAAAGGAAAAAAAACAAAAACAAAAGAAAATATTGACATTGAGGACATGGCTAAAGTACTAAATCAGTATTTTGTATCTGCCTTTACAAAGGAACTGGGAGGTGTGAAGATCACAATAAAAGGGGGGAGGTTAATTATGAACAGGGAAATGCCAAATAGAAAAGAGACACTAAAAAGTTTAGCATTACTGAAAAATTGGCAAGTCACTCAGTCCAGATGGAATGCATTTTAGGTTGCACAAAAATGCAGAGGCCTAAACAGTTGAAATATTAGTCACAATTCCTTCAATCCTCATTGGATTCAGGAGTATTGGCTCGGGATGGGAGAGTTGCCAGAATTATTCCACTGTTCAACAAAATAGATGGGTACTCCAGGAAGGTGCAGACTGGTCAGTTCAGCATCAATGGTGGACAAACAGCTGAAAACCAATATCAGGGAGTAAAGAAAATTCCATTCAGAAAGATATGGTTCATCAAGAAGAGTCAGCATTGATTTACCAAAGGTAAATAATTTCTAAGTCAGAGGTTATAGTCCATCAGGTTTATTTGAAATCACAAACTTTTGGAGCGCTGCTCCTTCATCAGGTGAGGTGACTTCATCTGACGAGGGGGCTATGCTCCGAAAGCTTGTGATTTCAAATAAACCAGTTGGACTTAAACCTGGTGTCATGTGACTTTTGACTTTGTCAACCCCAGTCCAACACCGACACCTCCACATCATGAATAATTTCTAAGTAACTTTATTGAACTATTTGATGAGATAACAAGATAATACAGCATATGTTGTATAAGTGGACTTTGAGAGGCATTGGACAAAATGCCATACAGGAAGCTTATTAAGAAGATGGAAGATCATGGAATTCAGGGGAAAGTGATGGTCTGGTGCTATATTTGGCTCAACGATGGGAAACAAATGGAATGGACTGAAAACTGCAATTACCTCCCAATCTAAAGAAGATCCATCCACCAGTTCCCCTTTGAATCTTTGTTTTCCTGCATTAGTTCTCTGATTATTTATCTTTACAGTTGCCTACTCACAGTCCCCTTCCTTCGTTCTAAGATTTTCCCAGCAGATATCTCTTGCTGGTCTGCCCTGGTTGACTCAACTGCCTAAAGTACAACTGCCAGGATCAATCATTTATCTTCAAATTACCTGCTTATACTCACCGAATTACCCTCAAAAACACGACTTGTTTCTAAGAATGCATTTACATTGTCCTGTATGTACACACGTGGATACACAATCTTCACAATCTAATGGCCTAGATCAATTTAAGATTTGCTAACTTGGCGAAGTTTTAGTAATGCAGCTCGGAAAGGATTTACCACAAAAATATTAAGTCAGAAGTCACATGACACCAGGTTATAGTCCAACAGGTTTATTTGAAATCACAAGCTTTCTCAGCGCTGCCCCTTCATCAGCTGAAGTCACTTCACTTGATAAAGGGGGTGCGCTCCAAAAGCTTGTGATTTCAAATGAACATGTTGGACTATAACCTCAGAGATAGTAGGAACTGCCAATGCTGGAGTCAGAGATAACACAGTGTGGAGCTGGAGGAACACAGCAGGCCAGGCAGCATCAGAGGAGCAGGAAAGCTGACATTTCGGGTCGGGGCCCTTCTTCAGAAAATCTATAACCTGCTGTTGTGTGACTTCTGACCTTGTCCACCCCAGGCCAACACCGGCACCTCCACTTCATGACAAAAATATTAAGCACTTTAAATAACAGTATCAATTTAACATCTGTGTAATCTTAGTGAAAATGCATTTTAAATTATGTAAAAAGACTAATTGCTAGCTGGGTCAGGGTACAATAATGTGTTCTTTAGCAGACTTTGGAAAAAAAATGCCAGATCTTTCCAAAGGTGCTGATTAGTGTCCTTACACACAAAAAAGTTCCAGTTTAATTTTCAGATCCTCCTTGAAAACCTGCAAAAAGCAGAAACTCCCAATGGAAATGAATTGACTGTAAGTTTGCCCAGACTTGTGGATGGGCTCATCTTCATGATGTTCTTGCATGAAAAGTCAGGGAATCTCCACTTGCGTGGAAGACAATTTGTGCAACATCTATAATTCCTCTGCACAACTTATGCTGAAAGAAAGCAAAAGTTCCAGGATTCAATATTTTTGACAAAGGCTATAACTCTGTCTTTGCAAAATCCAGCAAGCCCAGCATTATTTGCTTGAGTCTTCCTGTACATTACCACTCCAGCAGCTGCAACTAAAGCAGGCACCAGAGGTACACTTTCTGTACAGTAACATCTCATGCTTTGCAGATTTCAGCTTAAATGTCCTGTGGTTTAATGAAGGATTCCACAAGTGTCTTGTGAGGTACTGCCCCTCCCTCTGAACCAGAATGCTTGAGTTCAAGCCCCACTTAAGGGTGTAATAGCCACAGAAGTGTGTTATACTCCATCCAAACTGGTTGATGTTAAACAAATGTTTCCACACGTAATTGCAGTTATCTTCTGATTGGCCCACTGTTGTGTGTGTAACTCACATTCATGCATTTTGGCAAAGCTGTGACCAGACTGTTACTCAACTGTTGTATTTCACTTCCACTCTTTTAAAATCAAACTTGCCCTTCAGTATCACCTTATGCATTGCAGACCTTTGTTGCAGGCGACTTAATATGTGATTACGCACACAGGAAAACCAGCCAAGAATTAAGTGGAAGGGAACTACGGTGGGAAAGTTGCACACAAGGCGTAATCATGTTTCATTACAAATGATAGCCCTTTGCACTTTTTTTTGTTGCAGGTTGAATTCGAGCAGAGGGCAATCGATTGCCGACTTGGCCAGGTGGAGGGCCATCCATTCTCAGGGGTGACTGCTTGTGTAGATTTTTGTGCTCACGCTCACAGGGATTTGCATAACATGCAGAATGGCAGCACAGTGGTAAGTAGAAATGCTCTTCTCAGGCATTTTGTTTTAATCATTGACCTTCCGAGGTATTTACCTCCATTTAAGCCATTCACCGAACTCAATCATACACATGCAATTCACTAACTCACTCTCAAAGCCTCGTTTAACTCACTTAAGCGATTACCAGCATTAGGAACAACCCAGATTTAACTCAGTTGTCTGCACTTAACTCAACCAGTACCATGGAACTCAGTTACTCGTATGTAAATGAATTGCCTGGACCTATTTGAATCTTCATTTACTTCAGTCACCAGCGTCTCTTAATGTGACAGGCTTGTTTGGTGATTTAGATTATCTGTACATTATGTACAAGAGGTTGCAGGGTCTGTGACATCCAGAATTTCTAGGAATGTCTAGTGTTTCTGTGCTGTACAACTCTATGACTCTGGTATCTTGAACACCTGCACTACCTGAGACACCTCCAGTGATGCACAGCCATTGGTTGATTGATAGCACTCTCACCTTTGAGTCAGACAGCTGTGGATTTAAGTTCAAGTTCACACAAGGTCTCATACAAAATTCAAGGCTGACGCTCTGATGCTGCACCAGTGGGTGTGCTGTCTTTTGGATGAAATGTAAACAGAGGCCTGTGAGTTCTCTCACTATTTGTGAACAATCACATGGCATTATTTCAAAGGAGAACCAGGGAGTTATCCCTTATATCCCGGCCAATATCTATCCCTCAATCCACACTCCAAAAAAAAATGATCTGGTCATAATCACTTTATTGTTCGTTGGAGCTGATGGTGTTCACATTGTCTGCCATGTTTCCCTTGTTACAAACATGAAAGTGCTGAACTAATCTTGCTCGGTTTCAGATGCATGATAGAAGTGGTGAAAATTTTTAAAACTTTTGCCCTTTCTCACCACTGTGCATTGATTAAAAACAGTGTACGTTCACAAATGCTTCACAAAGACATGATTTAGACTTAATCGTGGAACTTTTGTGTTAAGAGAGGTGAAATCTTCCATTTATAAAAAGCAAAGAAGATTAGACGTAGGTAAGCAAATGAGCATGGGATAACTTTTACAATTTGCACAACAGGACTGCATATTGGAAATCTGGAAGTATACAGCAGTACTGTTCATTAAGCTGTCCAAAGTTGGGGTTAGTTAGCATGTATTTAACGCTGCATGCATATCACAGAGCCTTGTCTGGACATTAGGACAGATAAACAATATAAGTAATTTCAGGTTGTCAATCACAATCATTGTTCCAAAGGAAATTTCTGTTCTCTAGCAGAAATGGCAACTGCTGTGCCTTCCATCAGTGTGCTGGTCCCTGCCTGTTGTTACACTAATATCATTGATCAAATCTCTCTCACTGCTTAAATTCTGATTGCTTCCACCACTATCTGAGTGGAAGTTCCCATTTGTATCTGAGATTTGCATTTTGTACAATGGAATTTATCAAAGAATTCAAATTTATCGTGGTGTACAAATTGAATAAACGATGTTTTCCACTAACGTGTAGGTTTGCACACTTACCAAAGAAGACAATCGGGTTATTGGCCAAATACCAGACGATGAACAGCTCCATGTCCTGCCTTTGTACAAAATCTCTCCGACCGATGAGTTTGGAAGTGTGGAAGCTCAGGACGAAAAGATCAAGAAAGGTGCTATTCAGGTGCTGAGCTCCTTCCCCCGAGTGGTAAGAATGTTAGCCCGTCCTGTCAAAACCGGCCGGCAGAAGAAAGAAGCAAAGAAGGCAGCTGCAGCAGCTGCAGCGGCAGAGAAGCTTCTGAACCAGGAGAACAACGCCACGAAAGCAGAAAAGGGTCATCCAGCAGCAGCACGGTCAAACCAGGCTGGCTCAGAAAACGCAACAGCCAACCAGCAGATATCAAGTAACTTAGGTAAAAAAACAATTACAGATTTTCCGCCACTATCCCCAGACCTGTCCAAAAAATGAATGCTAACATTAAATACCTGCCTGCCCCATATGGTGTGGCACAGTACCACAACTGAAGAATTATTCTCATTTATGGACATAGAGTATTTGAAGGATGTGAGCCCCAAATAGACAGAGTGGGGGGCTTTAAAAAAGTAAGCAGTGAGGTGGGATCTACAAGAAACATAAGCAACCTAACTGTAAACAGGACATCATTGGAAAGAATAAAGCAAGGACAGCATTGCTGACAACAGACCAGAGTTATGAAATGAGGGTCTAAAAAGATGATCGGAAAATCACAGAAAATTCTAATCAGATTGAATCTGTCCAGCGTTGTTTGTGGGGCCCATAACTAAACAGAGGAGCTGGAGGCAATCAGACAAGAGGAATCAGATGTAGTAGGGATTAATGAGATACGCTTGCAGAAAAGTCAGGACGTGGAATTAAAACAATGGAATGCTTACCATATTAGAAATGTGAGAGGGACAACGGAGAGACACAATAACTACTTTTTTGAAATAATGCAATGGCATATCTATCAGCAAGACAAGACAAATTAGAGTCTAATCACTCTAATAGTCTACAGAAAAGTGAATAATGGAACAGAGATGGAGGAAGAAATATGCAGATAAATTAGTGAACTGAATTTTTTAAAAAAATGATGTCAGTGACCAGAGATAGCTAAAGTGGATGGAGTTCCTATATTTTTTCCTGGAGTCCATTCTAACTTAATATGTGAAATTCCAATAACGCAAGATTAGCTATTGGATCTTGTAATGGAGAATGAACAAGAGCAGATAAGAGAAGTAAAGGTAGGGAACATCTAGATGATGGTGACCATAACACATCACAGTTATAGAAGAACATAAGACTGTTCCAGTGGTTTGGGATTGTTGGGACCAGTGTCCTGATGAATTGAATAACTAAGGTTGTAGAGATGGCTTTGAACCAAATCATGGGGAAGGGGAAAGAGAGGGTTTGAGGGAGGGGAAGCATAGGCCTACAAAGGAAAAGTATGTGGCAGCATTGCAGTGCAGCTCTTCAGGTAAATGTTACCCAAAGTAGGATAGGAAGGGAAGGAGTGCATAAACATAGAAGAAAAAGCAGTAAATTGTGTAAGACAAGTAAAAAAGGTAAAAAGGCAAAAAGGGTCCAGACCCAAAACGTCAGCTTTCCTGCTCCTCTGATGCTGCTTGGCCTGCTGTGTTTATACAGCTCTACACCTTGTTATCTCAGATTCTCCATCATTGGCAGTTCCCAGTATCTTCAAAAATAATGGCTCCTTACTTTATTACACTTAGTATGCAGAACATAATAATGAATTAATGGCACACATAGAATTTAAAGAGTATCTTTTGGGTGGCATGGTGGCTCAGTACTGCTGCTTCACAGCACCAGGGACCCGGGTTCGATTTCACCATTGGGTGATTGTATGGAGTTTGTGAATTCTCCCCGAGTCTGTGCGGGCTTCCTCCAGGTGCTACGGTTTCCTCCCTCAGTAAAAATGTGCACAGGTTAGAAGGAGCAGGAAAGCTGACGTTTCGGGTCTAGACCCTTCTTCAGAAATGGGGGAGGGGAAGGGGATTCTGAAATAAATAGGGAGAGAGGGGGAGGCGGATAGAAGATGGATAAAGGAGAAGATAGGTGGAGAGGAGACAGACAGGTCAAGGAGGTAGGGTTGGACAGGAGGGTTGCAGTGGGAGAGAGATTCACTGAGGTCTTTCCAGAGGGAGGAGGGTAATTTCTGCAAGGTAGGCATCCTTAGAAGAGGCTTCGCAGTCCTTGTTAACTCAGATTCTCCAGCATCGGCAGTTCCTACTACCTCTGTAACAATTTTAACCCCACTGCGAAGCCTCTTCTAAGGATGCCTACCTTGAAGAAGTTACCCTCCTCCCTCCGGAAAGACCTCAGTGGATCTCTCTCCCACTGCAACCCTCCTGTCCAACCCCGCCTCCTTGACCTGTCTGTCTCCTCTCCACCTATCTTCTCTTTTATCCATGTTCTATCCGCCTCCCCCTTTCTCCCTATTTATTTCAGAATCCCCTGCCCCTTCCCCATTTCTGAAGAAGGGTCTAGACCCGAAACATCAGCTTTCCTGCTCCTCTGATGCTGCTTGGCCTGCTGTGTTCATCCAGCTCTACACCTTGTTATCACAGGTTAGGTGGATTGGCCATGCTAAATTGCCCCTAGTATCCAGGGATGTGCAGGCTAGGTGGGTTAGCCATGGGAAATGCAAAGCTACAGGGATAGGGTAGAAGGGCTAGAGCTGGATGGGGTGCTTTTCGGAGGGTTGGTGCGGGCTCGATGGATCAAATGGCCTCTTTATGTACTGTAGGGATTCTTTGATCTATGATTCTATGATCTTAATTCCATTATGGAGACTTTGTTACATGGAAATCAAAGTTGTAAGTTACATATTGAGGGGTATGTGAGGGGTTTTTGAGAGGACAAGCAGGAAGGAAAGGGTAGTGAGATAGCTTTGTTAGTATGAGATAGAATAAGTCTGTTAGCAAGAAAAGATCTTGGATCAGAAGGTTGAGAATCCAATGGGTGGAGTAAGTAATACAAGGGGATGAAGACATTGATCAGAGTAGTTCATAGGTTCCCTAACAGTAATTATATCGTAGGACAGAGAACCATTAATGGTAATCGCAGGGGTAACAATGCAGTGATTACAAATTTTAAATAATTACTTTGTCTCAATATTTATCAAGGCAATGAGCCAAGTATTAAAGTGCATTTAAGATTTTAGAAACCTTGATATATTGAACAATCTAAACAAACTCAAACAGAACAAATTGCTGTCTAAATGGATTACAACCATGTATTTTAAAATAATCGAAGGAAGAGATAAATGATGATTTGTTGCTAATTTTTATCTCATTATAAAAAGATGTAGCATCCAGAGGACTGGCAAATAATTTACTCATCAATTCCTATAATTAAAAAGGGAACAGAACATATCCAGGGGATTATAGAACAGTCTGCTTAGTATCAGAGAGTGGTAGGAAGAATAATGGAATCCTTATAAGATAAGAGAGTAGAAGAGCACCTAGAAATGAAAATTATAATAATGAATAGTCAGAATATAATTCAAAACAGAAAACTTACTTGGCCAGCCTTACTGAATTTTTGAAAAGATAACAAAAGGGGGAGTAGATAATGTGAATATAATAAGCAAATTCAATTTTATGAGTTTCAGAGGCTTTCATAAAATGCTCATGAAGGATTAATTAATATAGTCAGAGAATGAGGATTTAGGGGATAAATAGCAGAATGATTTTATTTGTTGGTTTCAAGATAGAAAGCAGAAAGTGGGTGTAAAGGGTAGATATTTGATTTGAAAGAGTATGGGAATGTATTCCACAAAGATCCATGCTGGGGCCATCTCTGTTCACAATATACATTTTCAGCTGGAACTTGGAATCAAAAACACAGTTTAGCTTGGACTTTTCAATGATTAGATAATAGGTTCTGCACTATAGATTGGGAACCAGCAGAAATCCTGATGTAGCAGGCTCCAAGGGAATTGTCAGGAAATCGAAGATTCTGCAGAGCAATTCCCCTGTGCCTGGAATCGGATAATTGAGTGCTCTGCTGGACTGAAGTAAAATAATTACCCAGGAAAAATTAGATTATTAAAAATCTAGTCTAATTATTAAATTGAAGTCCCCAACTTACTACTCACAGCCTCACCAGATTCCCACACCTTGACCAAACAATACCAACACCCCACTACCTCCTCAGGGACACAATACTCATTCCCCACCACCAGGATCCAACACCCACCTTTCTCCCAGGACCAAACATCCCTCCTTCTGACAATACTCCTCCTTGTTACGAGCTGGTAACCCCCATCACCAGACTCAACAACTCCTTCCCTCTGGCACTTGACAGTCATCCCCAGCCCCACACCCGATACTCTCCCTCTTCCCCGGGACCTGATGCCTTCTTTCCTGGCTGCCTCCTCGCTACAGAACCTGACATCATCTTTTGGCCCTGGGATCCAAAATAATCAATATTTGGATTGATCAATACTGAGGATTGAGGGAACATAGACTGGGATATTAATAAACTTCCAGAATGAACAAATTATTGGAAAACAATTGTTCAATACATATAAATGAGATGTATTTACATCTTGATGGGAAGGTACTTGGAAGATTCAAGTTTAGTTGGGATGTTGGAACAACAGATCTCACAGTACACTATGCAAATTATTAAAGCTTGTGCCACCATTAAGAAAGCCTTAAAAAAAACCAGACATTATTTCCAGAATCACAAAGTAGGAAAGTTTTGGTAGATTGGTACTGAACCATAGTTAGACAACACTGAGAGTACTGCATGCAGTCTGGTTACCATATCATAAAAATGATGTAGACGCATTGGAGAGGTGCAGAGAACAGTCCAAAGAAATACAGGTTAGGTGGATTGACCATGCTAAATTGCCCTTAGTGTCCAGGAATGTGTAGGTTAGGTGGATTAGCCATGGGGAAAGCAGGGTTATGAGGGGGGGGATGTGAGACTGGGTGGGATGCTCTTTGGAGAATCGGTGTGGACTTGTTGGGCAGAATGGCCTGTCTCCACACTGTAGGAATTCTATAGATAAGATTTACAAGGAAGGTATTAGTACACATATCAGGAAAGAATTGCCACACTGACTTTCTTTTGTTTTGAAAAAAACGGTAATGGTTACCTAATAGAGGTCTTTAAATTTATGAAATGTTTGACACAGTGGCTACTGAGAGAATGTTTCCTCTTGTGGGGAAGAGCACAGTTAGACACCATCAATAAAAGATAGTCACCAAGAAATCCAATTAGGAATTCAGAAGAAAATTATTTACTGAAAGAGTAGTAAAAATGCAGAACTTGCTATCATGGACAACGTTTGAAGCAAATCAATACAGGCAGTTTGCAAGTCGATTTGTATGCAAGTTCAACCAATGCAGAATAGTGTAAAGCAGA